TTAGTGGTTTAGGGTCTAGGGTTCAGGATTTAAGGTTTAGGGTTTAGGGTTCCGGGTTTTGTGTTCTTGAGATTTCTTTGGTAACAAAAAAAGGGGGGCTCCTCTTAAGAGTTCTTTAGTAACAGAAAAAAAGGGGCTCCTCTTGTGATTTCTTTAGTACAAAAAAGGTGTTCATATATAGAAATAGACGGTCTTATTCTTGTGGTTTCTTTAGTAACAAAAAAGGGGCCTCATATAGAGAAATAGAGGGTCTCATTCTTGAGATTTCTTTAGTAACAAAAAAGGGGCCTCATATAGAAATAGGCGGTCTTATTCTTGTGATTTCTTTAGTATCAAAAAGGGGACTCGTATAGAAATAGACGGTCTCATTCTTGTGATTTCTTTAGTAAAAAAGGGGCTCATATAGAAATAGACGGTCTTATTCTTGTGATTTCTTTATTAAAAGAAAGGGGCTCATCTAGAAACCGACGGTCTTACGGAGCAGACCTTCAGTGTATTGGTTTAGCAAACAAGGGGGTTCATACAGAAATAGACGGCCTTATGGAACAGACCTTCAGTGTATCAGGGATGCAGGTCCGAGGTTGAAGGCATCAGCATGTCTTGATGAAGCTCAGTCCGGGCCAGAGCTCAGCATGCCAAGGGTCTCTGCGGGTTTAGGGTTCAGGGTTTAGGGTTCAGGGTTTAGGGTTTTGTGGGCCTGGCTTGGCTCTCAACAGAAGGACGGCCGACAGCATGGCTGGCGCTGTTGGCTGGTTGTGTCTTTATGATAGCCTTTAACCACTCAGTCGCCGAGACGGTGTTCAACAGATAGCCGATACCCATAGGTCCCTAATTAGTTCCTTTTTGTGGCTTATATTTAGACTCCTATAAGGTAATCCCAAGAAGGAACTACTTAGGGGCGTATGGGTACTGATTGTCCATGCCTTAAACCCCTAAACCCTAAACCCTACACTGATTCCCCAGACCGTCTCGAGCAAAAGGCGCAGCACAGCCTCTCGAACTCGGACTGTAATTTGTTCCTGCTCTTCCTCACGGGTGCAGTCCGAAGAACTTAAGTCCCAGAGGGTCCGAGTAACCAAATAGTAAGGTTGTAGGTCCCAAAATCCATACTCTCAGTGGTTTTTGGACCTTGAAACTCTACTAGTTGGGCACGTGGACCCTTAGGGAGTAACGCTAAATCTTCATGCGAAGCCCTAGAGCTCTGTTTGGGTCCCGGCTTGCTTGTGTAGGGTTCCACGCTTTACGAAAGCCGAAAACCCATGGAAAAGTCTAAGCCTTAAAGCCACAGCCTCAGGCGTATGTACCGGCTTTTTCTAGTTGCATTTCTGTTTTCGCTTGGCATTCAGGGTCACTTACAATGCAAGTCTCTAGTTCAGGTTTTCATTGTCTCGGTTCTGTGAATATCAGCCCTAAATGCCGGGAGAAATGGTACCCTAAAGGCCGAACGGACGAAGGATATGGATGTTTCATGTTGTCTTGCGCTTGGGGTTTCAGATCTTTTGGGGCTTGAGACGCTGCAGGCATGCTTAGCGCCCCGCTGCAGGGGTTTAGGGTCCGTCTCGCAGGTAACCAAGACACGATTGGTGGATGCGCTCCAGCGGCAGCACGACTTCTACGCGACTGGCCTCAGCCGAAGTTGTCTTCTGCCATGGTCCGAAACTTTCCAAGGTCTTTCAGTGTGTAATTACCTGGGGTGCCACCTTCTCAGTCTGTCCAAAAAGGCTTTTTCAGTGTTCTGCTGCTGGCGGTGCACAACTCAAAGCCCTTGAGCCTATGAGAAGCAAATGCTCCAAACCCAAAAGCAACTTCGTAGAGTCTCCGTAAGTTGGGACACTGTTGCAGCCCCACAGAATCCTAGAAAGCTCGATAGAACTCAGGTGATGCGGCTGCAGCAAGAGGTGGTCGTCGAACTCTTGGAGTCCACCACTGGTGATGAGCTGCGCATGACTGGGTTTCTTTGTTTGGGAGCTTGTCGGGACTTGGGAGGGAGTCTGGAGGGCTGTAGGGCTTACAGGCTATAGGGTTCATGACAGGGTCTAGGGTTTAGGGGCGGATGCTGCTCTGGCATTTGAACAGCTTAGATAAGTCCGGACCATGACGAAGATCAGCCCCCACTTGCTCGCAGTGCTGTTGCTGCTGACTATGATTGCTACTACCAGCACTATCGTGTTCTTGGTGATGATGATGCCCTATAGACCCTACAAAATGTAAGCCATATAGGTGCAGTTGATGCTGCCTACATCGCTACTTTGTCGTTCCGTGCTGTCGGAAGGATGACTGAACCACGATTTGAAGCCAAAGCGCTAAAACCTATTCCTTAACCAAGCCATACAAGCCCTAAGCCCGTTCGGAAGGATGAAGGACGTCTTAGACGAGGGCGGGGATTTCTACAACCTGCACAAGCTCGTCTTTCACGACCTCGATCCCGAGATGCTCTCTGGGCAGAAGAGGGCTATAACGGCTAGCCGGATTTCGGGCTCGGGCTCTGATAAGGGGTTCTACAAGCCGTCCTACAGGGGTTCTTAGAAGTCCCAGGGGTTTGTTACGGGGTTTTGGAAAATGCGGCCCAGAGGAACATACGTGGGCCTAAACCAATCAGCAAGATGATTCCCTAAGGTCTAGTCCCCATACAGTTACAATTATAGTCCCCATATGGCTACAGTACAATAGCCCGCAGTACGCCATTCTAGTTTTAACGGCCCGTACATCACACCTACAGCCTGAGACTAGAGCTTTGGCTCTATACCCCAGCGGCTAGGCCCTGAATCCTTACTGATCCCCCAACGCCATACTTGCAATGTAAAGAGGGTTCAGGGTTTTGGGCCCCAGGTAAGCAGAAACCCAGAGACCGAAGCAAAGCATCCCAGACTTGACCTAGTTTGGGCGAAATTTCGGAGTTTCTTCCTCAGTGACTGTTGTACTCATCGTCCCTGACGTGGAAACCCGACAGCTACTCGTGAAGTAGGCCGAAAGTCGCTTCCATCGAGATCTCCTTCGGTGACCGAGCCGAGGAATGAGTCTTCAGCCCAAAAGCTAAAGCTCCCATCTGACACCAAGACTCAAGCCTAGGACCCAACACGACCCGAAACCCCTATGAAACCCTACCACCCAGGTACGAGCGAGCACTCAGACACATTCAGAAGGAGGGTAGGCGCATGGCGAAGCAGTACGCACCGCACAAGGCGTCGCCTGTGAGAGTTTCAAGCTTGGGCTTGTTTGGTTTAATGCAGTGGCCTTATTTTAAGAATTACCTATACTATTTTGGGGGTTCCTTATAATAATAATAAGAAGAAGAATAATAATAAAAATAATATTATAATGGGCCCCAAAACCCTATTCTAATTATTAAGGCCCCTATATATTACTGTGTTTGGTTACCCGTTCGTCCTGGCAAATCCCAGGCCCATCTTTTGGATCTTCAGAAATCTGCAAGCTGTTAAAATTCGTCATATATGCCTGCAATGAAGGCTCTCAGCATGACTATGCCTAGCCCTGATGCGACGGTGTCATCACTGACTTCGTCATCCAGCACCGCGCATTCCTTGACTTGAGCTGTTTCGGAGTTCCCCTCCAAAACTGAAGCACAGCAAAAGCAACATCCCATGGTTCAGGGACTACTTCTTGGGGATTACTCAGTTCTTTTGGGCGTCTCGATAGGTGGTTGTACGTTGAGCAGACTGCACAAAGGCCTCAGGCCCTGTACCCCTTTAGAGCCGGGAGCTCTACGCCCTAACATCGCTAAGAAAGGGGCATCACGCCTCAATGATTACGGTGTGTGAGGTTGTGTTGCATTTTGGCATCGATGTCAGCGTTGGGACGATGAAGTGGTTCTGGAACATGGACACAGGATGCCTTGGAAATTCGGACTAGCCCGAAGAGCCATTTTACCTTGGAAGGCTCCGATCAAGATCATCAGCGATGTGGACGACACGCTCTATGGGAGTGCTCTTGGCTATCATCTTATCTGGCTTGAAGTTACGCGTTGTCTGTTCTGGTCCGGTATTGGGTCCATGGGCGGGTGCTTTGATTGCAGAGGGCGTTATACGGGCCAGGGCTTCACCATGGCCTCAATAAATTGGTAGACCTCCCTAGCGACTTGTAAGGTCCCAAGGTGTGAGATCCGAGCCCAAAAGCTGTATCTCACACCCCTGACCGAACTTGTTTCATGGATGAGATCCTCCCCTGAGCTCTTGTACCCAGGCCCTCAACTCCAGACCTTAGAAGCCCTGAACCTTGAGGCGTACAAATTCAGGTCTCTCAGATCTATCTGTTCCGGGAAGTTTCGAGGCGGCGGCCATTTCCCCGCCGGCTGCGATGAGCGCTTTCCGAAAAGCCAGGTGGGGCAAGCCTTCTGTATTTTTCACCAAGCCTATAAGGAAACACTGAGACTCTCTCTATATGGCTAGAGGCCGCACTCTTGTGATTTTTTTAGGGGGTCTCAGTACTATAGAAGCCCAAAGAATTACCAATACTACTGCTAGGGTTCCTTATTATAGGTATGCTTTATATTAAATACCCAAAACCCTATTCTAACTACTAAGGCCCCTACATTACTTCAACGGTGTTCTTTTTGGGCTTCGGGGAAGCTCTCGGGTTGACTCCGCGTCGCTGCGGGGCTCATGCTCTGGTGGTTCACTGTGGGATCCGGGAACTTAAGGCGTTTAGGGTTTAGGGTTTAAGGCTGTAGAGGTCTTCTTTTAGACCCCAAGAAGAATCGCAAGTAAGAAGGTTTAAGTCCTCTTGGCGGTCATTGCAAAGGGATGTGCCTTTGTCCTGGGCCTACACTGTCAGCGTAAGGTCAGCTTGTCTCGTCTCGAAAGAACTTGACTTCGCACGATTCCTCAACAAGCAACCCTCCAGCCCAAAAGTCTTAGGATCCCACCTGGGCCCTACTTTAATCCTTGTGAAGGGAGCTTGTTATGTAATTCGCTGGTCTACATTGCCAGACCCGCGATGACCTCTCTGTGCCCAGAGAGCCCAATACCCCTCAACACGCCTGCTAATGTCTAGGGATTCTCGATAGGACTCAAGGTGTCTTCCTTCATGAAGCGGTAGTGGATTTACTGGATTTCTCTGGCCTATAAGAAAGCTCACCGCACCCTATTCACATGTCCCTTCTGCAACCTACCAAGCTCTTGCACAACATTGTACAGCCCTATGCAGCTCCCAGGTCTATCCAGGGGTTCTAGCGCTGTTTAAAGAGATCACGGCCGAGCGCACCATGAAGCAGAAGGAGAAGGTGCCAAAGGCGCCTCGCTCTTGTTTGCTCTAGGGAGCTTTGTACAAGTTAAGCGGTTTGGGGTTGCATCTTTTTGCTTATGCAGGGATGTAGAGTTTAGGGCTACATACTAATTAGGTTTGAGGGTCTGCCGAACATTTCCGGTCAGGACCCCAGAGCCGGGATGCAAAAAGGGCTGCAGCTTCGTAAAGATTAGGGCCAAAGCAGCCAACGGTTCGTAGAGGCTTTAGGAGAGAAGTCTGCGCCGAGTCGCGCAGTTCGCGGCTTTTCCGGTCGATGAGTCGGGAATTGCTTGCTGGGCGACGAAGCCACCTACCCACTAGCCTTAAACCGCACCGAAGGCTACACCCGAAACCCTAAACCCTGTACACTGCATGCTGTTCATACTGTAGAGCAACTTAGTTGGGGGGGGTTGGCCTGGAATGTTTAACTCAAGGCTTTTGCTTGCCAGGGGTATGTGCGGTGCTGGAGGACGGTACCTCTAAAATTTGTAAGCATCCCGGTAGTTTGGCATAAGCCATGTCGTCCGAAGAAGGTGTTACACTACACTTCAGGGTCCAGCATTGTGTTAGGTTAGGGTCGTTTAATTTCTAAGCCCTAGCCTCATTAGTCAAAGGTTGAACTCGTCACTGGTTCGTGGCTTCTCCATCATGTTTTGGGGTTCAGGGCATTGGGATTTTGACATGTTTTGATCTGTTAGATATCTTGTTTGCTTGTCAAAAGTTTTGGAGCTTTGGGTCTTTGGTACCATAATCGATGAGGATTCAGATAGGTGCAGCAGTTGATCAACATCTAGAACCACCGTTGAACTTCGAGATGTCTGCATAAGTCTGGGTTGCCGACAAAGCCACGCCACGCAGGGAGAGGAGGACGACAACGAGCAGCGACGGCCTCAGTCGGAGAAGGAACGCCTTGTTATAGGAGTGCCCGTGCAAGGCTACACCCAAACACCTATCTTCAGGGGTTTTTTGATGTCTTGGGTAACTGTTACACTCGCCTTGAATGCTAAGCACAACGCGCACCCTGCATTCAGCTATGCTTCTGTCAGAGGGCGTAGCATGTAGAGGGTCTTTGTAGTTTCAACCCGGTTCCCTTGGACCTGAGAATGCCAGGGCCTAGATTGAGACAGCTTCGTCAAACCGACCTCTTTCCCCCTACATTCAAAACGCGAAGCCCTCTTTATTCTCACTGCATCTGTTCACAGTAAGTCTATTGAAGGCTTAAAGGGTTCGTTGTTGAAAGCCTAAAGATCTCCAACGAGACCTAAACATGTCACCCTGCTTCCATGTTTTGAGGGTCCAGTGATGATCTGCAGATATTCGAAGGGTCCAACCAGCCAGAGATTGGGTAACTGGGGCTAGGTTAGGAGTTTTCGATTCGTCGACCGGCTTTGACAGCGCTCCTCAGTGTGTGTAAAGAGGATGGTTTGGGCGAGAAACGGCTGCACCGTTCTTGGAGCACATTCGCAGTACAGCTTGAGCCATACCAGCCTCCTCCTAGCTGCGCCATTTTTCACCTTCGACCCCGAACCTCCACCTCCTTGAGGCCAAGCTTCAGTGTTTTGCGGCTACTGGGCTACCGGGTGCACAACAACACTAACCCAGCGCCTCGACTGCGGTTTGCCGCTTGGGGTTTGGGGGGTTCAGGTGGAGTTCAGGGTCAAGAAGAATTGAGGGTCGGCAATGTAGAGGCCCAAATAACGACCAATATTTTTGTAGGGGTTCCTTATTTATCATTATACTATGAAGGAGCCCAGCACTCGATTCTAATGATGAAGGCCGCCTCTGTAGTATTCTGAGTGAAGATTTTCTGGCTGTGCTCGCAGGGGTTGGCCTAGGGTCTTCTTGAATCCACACCGGCCACGAAATTGAAATTGAAAGACAGCTCCCTCTGCAAGCTGATGGCGGGCCTAAGCCTAAACTCGAACCCGAAAACCCTAGTTTAGGGTTGAGGGTTTAGGGCTCAAGCAGCTCCTCAAGCGGCGGGAGTCAATGCCTAAACACCAATTTGCAACAGCCTCGAAATGCCTCGAACACTACTCCACACCCTTGCTTCGAACCTGCAGCAGGGAAATCCCACAGAGAGCTGCGCAAAGGTGTGGATTCGCGCCCCCGGCCGGCAGTGGAAGGACATCATGGGAAAGAGAATTAGCGTTTATAAGGCCCTTCAAGCGTGTAGGTTGTAGGAACCAAAAGCCACACTGCCGCGCGACAACAGCTATGACTCGGTGGAGGGGGGGGGGGTCATGGCTAGGTGTGAGTCTGGGCCTCGGGTGAGGAATTTTTCACCGTTGGACTTCGGACTCGAACACGTGTGTAGGGTTGCGTAATCAGTTCAGAGGATTGGGTTTTTGGGTTTTATTTGGTCTCTGGTATTTTTGCTGCCAGTCGTACGGGGTTGCATGAGAAGGTTCTCTAACGCAGAGTACATTGTATATGGGGATTCCGAGAAGTCTCAATCCCTGACAGAAGCCTCACAGTCTCAATCCCTGAAGGACTCACAGAATTGAATCCCTAGCCAGACGACCCCAGGTCACTACTAGTGTTCCCGAGTTTAGTAGGTTGTGGGGTTCAAACCCCGGGGAATAGTAGTCCTTAGGGCTCCTGCTTATGACGATAGTATAACATACCCAAATCCCTTTTCCTAGTTAGTCAGGCCTTTGTTTAGAGCGCAAGAATTGGGGAATTTTCCAAAAATGAGATCATTCGGACGCAGCCCCCCAAGAAAGCGCTACTGCGGCGTATTAAATAAGTAGCAGCAGTCAGTATAATACTATCTACTTGTATTACGTGTAGTCCCCTGAATATGCTTATGGTGCAATGTCCGCGGAAAGCTTATATCTTCACCGAAACCCTATTTTGATACTTAAGGCACCTATCTGGGACCCTTCAACAGGAACCCGACTGTTCATCATTACGCTGTGCTCACAAAGTCTTCTGCTACAAGCCCCGTCTTCGGTAAAGGGCGGCCACGGAGCTTTAAACCCACGCAGAAAGCCCTCAGGTCAAAGATCGCCAACCCAAGAAACAATAACGACCCCCTGACAACCCCAACCCTATATGCCCTCAACCCACGAACCCCTGAACGCTGAAACCCTTAAGCCCCATAGAACCCCCTGGAAACCGGAAACACTTCATTTTTCAGGAGATTTCCGTGTCCGACTCCGAAACCGTGGCGCAGCTTCAGGACAAACCAACACCTGCATGACGCAGGGCCGGTAGGGGCTGAAACGCCGAAGCCCCAGCCCTACTGTTGATGACATAAATCCTGCATTTCCTTAAGGACCCTCAACCACGGGAATTGTGGTATATGCAATATAGTATATTCCTTCTTATGGGTAATGCAGGATTTCTATTATCAACCGTAGTATTGGAGTCGCTGGAATAAAAAAACTTGCAGCCTTTGTAACTACTGCAGTGTTTCAGCGTGGTACGGTGATAATTCTAGTTGCATCAGGACTACAAAGGTACCGAAACTGTTGAGATATGTTGAGATCAAGCCCGTTGCTACGGCTGAAAAAGGCTCTTTCCAGAGATTCGTCTGAAGAGATCTTGCCCAAGCCTTAGGAATATTTAAGGGGTTTGGGGCTTTAAGGTTTAGGGGTTGAAGGTTTAGGGGTTTAGGGTTTAAGGTTTAGGGGGTTTAGGGTTTAAGGTTTAGGGGTTTAGGGTTTAAGGTTTAGGGTTTAAGGTTTAAGGGTTTAGGGTTTCTTCAGGCTTGGAGTTTAGGGTTTCGAGCCCGATTCGAGCCCTAGGCATCAGGATTCGGTAAGAGAAAACCTTCTGCTCACAGAGATAAAGTAAGAGGGTTAGGATTTAGGGTTTTTAGATTTTAGGGTTTTCAGAGGGTTTGTAGGGTGGTTAGGGTTTAGGGTTTTAGGGTTTAGGGTTTAGAAGCGATCAGCGAACAGAACCTGGCCATAGACCCCAAAACCCTACGTTGGGACTGGATGCTTCCACATCTCTTCCCCCTGCGCTTCTTACGTGATGTAAGCTGATAGTTCCCTTTGTAGAACAGTTGTGAAAAGGCGCCAGTTGAACTGTGCCCTCCGAAAAAACCCGTGTCAGCATTCCCAAACGCTTGAACCCCAATTCGTAAACTCCAAAACCTCAGCCCCCGGACCAAAAACTCCGGCCCAGTTTCTTCTAGAAGCAGTCCAACAAGCTAGTACAAACCTCAAAACCCCTTATATGGGGGTTTCCGAAATGGGGGACCCTAATATAGTACCCTAAATAGTAGGATCCTTATTATAAGGACCCCAAAATAAGGTATTATAAGGACCCCCAACATAGGGTACCTATATTCAGAGACGTTGCTCTGAGCTGCGCCAGGAGCGGGTGGCTCGATCCAGGGATGCCGGCGACCTCTCATTGCTGGGCGAGGCCGTTGGGGGTGGGCTTAACGGTTTAGGATGCAGGGGTCTGGGATTGAGGGTTTAGGATTGCGAGCTTCTGTCGTACTTTTGTTTTCGCGCTCAACAAAATGTTTGATAAAGGTTAAGACTTTTTGTGTTTTGGGGATTTAAAGTTATGGATCTGTATGGGGGAATTTGCTGGGCATGTAGACGAATGGTCTAGGCCCCAGGTTTTCGTGTTGCAACTGCTCTAGCCGTCGGGAGCCTAAACCAAAAGTCCGGACCCCGAAACCCGAAAACGGCTTAGGGTTTAGGGTTCAGGGTCATGTCTCGCGAACGACTGCTTGCCTTCGCAGCCCTGCTCTAGCTATAAAGACCGCCGCCTGTGAAACGCTACGACAAGCGCCTCAGAGATCCCAGCGGAACTTCTCCAAGCAAGAAGCCCAACATCATTCATCACTCAGTAGCCGCAGGTCTGAGGTTTGGCCCGACGCCCTATTTATCTAGTTTAAGCAGACAAGCATAAACCATAGAGAGCTTGTTCGGACTGTTAGTATCTTCCTGATTCAAGGGTGGCATTGGGGCAGTTGCCCCAAAATCCCAAATTTTGCGAGCCTCTTCCTAAGAGTAAGATCTTGCTAACATGCCAAGAGCC